AAATATAAAATAACTCAGTTATTTAATATAATTTAAACAGATAACAATTTTTTGGATTGGTTTTTGAGTGAAAGAAAATTTATCAATAAAACAGACTTATAGATTAATTTAAAGTTTCTACTAATGATTCACTTAACAATTTAACACTTAAATTAACTAATTAAGTTAGTTTCTTGTCTAGCGTTAACTCTACCCACGCAGACTCGTATTATTACATTGTTTGTTTATACATATTGCACAAACTTGTATATTATACACACGAGTATAAATCAACATTAAAATAAATTCAGAAATACGTCAATTATTTTTTTCAACTTTTAACTCACTATTAAATAAAAACAAAAACCTTTAAATTTAAGCTATTTTTTTATAAATATTATACCTAAGTAAGAAACTTTTTTAATAAAAAACACTTAATTATGTTAAGTATAATTTTATAATTCTCAAATGTAAATTTATTAGTGATTTTGATAGTGCTGAAATAACTGAATTTATAGCAGAAATTTTAGATAAAAAATAATTATGCAAAGCAACTAACATTTTAAAGCATTCGGTAATAGTAATGCATAGTTTATGAATTTTATTGTTAGCTTTGATTTAATTCAGAAAATTTTGTAATTGTTTATAAAAATTTAGATGTGATACCAGCATATGCTGAAAATCTGAAAATAATTTATTTTGTGATTATATAATATTTACCACATGTTGCTATTTAGACAAGCTTTACATAAACGCATATTGATTTTTAAATCCTGGGATTATTTTGTGCAGGTAGTTTACTAATTGGCTTGTTTACGTACACAACAAGTTTGGGTTTGATACATAGTTTTCAAATTTTTTAATTCTTCTTGCATAGTTCATTTACCTTGAAATAATTCGAAACTTGTTTGTTATAAAATTTTCAAAGATTTGTTTACTTATTATGCTTCTAAAAAAACAAATTTCAAAACTATTATTTTCTAAGCATGCAATTTGTGAACACTACCCAAGTTTTTAATTCTAGTGCTAATACCCTTGAACAAATTTAAATTCTTAGGTTACAAGTTTCTTACATGTTAATTATTAGGCTTCATATGCCACTCTACTTTGTCAAAAATTTAAAATAAAATTTGAATAATTGATTGCAATGGAAGTAATTATTATTAGCAATCCTATTATGCAATGTGTCAATGTGTTATGTTGATAATTTGAGTATATGAATTCCTATGAATTCACAAGAATAATTCGATTGCTGCCAGTCTCTAGTGGTAGTTTTGTTGATTAGTAATATCAGTGTTGTGTCCCTCGACAAACTCTAATTAAAGCATGTACACACAGGTAGGTAAGTATACATTTACCTACAGGCAATATAAACCTTCTAAAAACCTTTTAATTAATCAAATTGATTCGAAATTTAATTTAGCAAAAATTTATTTACCGAACGTAATCCGTTTGAAATTCATTTCCCGTCGGGCATAATTAAAAATTTACTTTACTTTAAAAACTAGAAAAACCTTCTCTTGAAACAGTAATCGACTTTACCTTTGATTTCATTTCTCGTCTTTAGTTTCAGAAAGATTCTCATAAATCCGTTAATATTTTATTCGAAAGTAAATCCAATTTTACGTGAAAGCCGTACGTTTTTTCTCCTTTTTCATATTGTCTGGCTCGAACTGGACCATCCGACGCGCGTTTAAAGAACTCCACATCATTGTAATAAAGATATTACTTTTTTTTCCTCTATTTCGTGTCTACTTTTCTATTTTCTTTTATGCTGCGGCGAAAATCACAATGAACATAAGAGAAAAGCGCCGCAATGCCATAATGGAGTTTTACTTTCATACGAAGTGTCTGGTTACGGCATTTTTTCGCGCTGAAAGTATTTTATGGGAGGCGCATATAGGATGTGGGGAGCATATCTCTTATTTCCACAAGACATAAAATTCGCAAACGGATGTTGTTCTAAATTTTGCATGATTTATAAAATTTTGGTAACACCAACGTGTCATTTTGACGCTAAATATGCTCATCAAACAACAATATGGCTTAATTTTTAAATATAAAAGAGCATTTTGTGTAAATGAAAACAATTGCACAATATTGTATTAAAGAACTCGTTTCGTGTGGAACGAGTTCAGGTTATAAAACGAGCATCGTAGCACGAGTTTTATAAAAAACGAGTTCTCATAAATGACTTCTGAAACAAGTTTTATATGCTATTTTTTCTATTTTGCATTTTTACGTATTTTTTAACAGAAAAGATAATTTTCTAAAATTTAGAAACTTTTGTTTTAATAAGGTTGTGATTGGTGGTAAATGTCACAAAGTTTGAAAGTTCGATTTTTGAAGTGTCAAGTTTCAAGTATTTTTCAATTTTTTTTTGAATTAAAAATGAATACTACAAATATTTCATGCACACCACCTAAAAAACTCAAAACGCTGCTAAAAATTACTATTACCAACCTCTAGAGAGTAAATTGTACTAGTCTATTTCAGCACCCAAATCGGCGTCGAAATGGCTCATTAAAGCATCGGTTTTGGTATCGAAATAAGCTTTCTTTCAGACGCAAAATAAAAAATATAATTTTGGTAGAAGTACTGCATAATATACAGGGTGTTCCGTCTAAATCCCACTTTAGAAGTATTGGGAGTTGGAATAATCGTATTTATTTAAAAATTGGTACATAGCCATAAACCATTAAGTCCTCCTAAATGAAAATATTTTCGAGATGGCGGCACTTCCGGTTATACCGGAAGTCGGACTCAACTTTCTTATTTTAAATGGAAAGGTATATTTTTAACTGCGTTTTTGGATTAACCGGGTTATTTTAAGGAAGTTTTTATCAGCTTTCCCTATACCTAAATTTAGCCATTTTTGAAATATTTGGAGTTTTTCAAAAAATTTTGGATCTGCACCTTCCACTTTAAAAATCGGTAACTCTGCTATTTTTTAAAATTTTGAATTTGTATTTTTGGCGTTTGAAAGAGAAAGTTTAGATATTTCTTTCGGTGTTTTTAAATTTTGAAAAAAAAATTAACAAACCATAAAATTTTAAGGTTACTTTTGTAATAATTCAAATACCCATAACTCAATTTTTTCAAATAAAATACCCCAATTTTTATTTTACTAAATGGAGGAGAATTTAATTCTGCATCGATCTGTATTAACATTCCCTATACCTAAATTTAATAATTTTTAAGTTATGGTGACTTTTTGTTGAGACTGCCGAAAATCTGTTATTAGCCACATTCGTTTTCGTATAGTTTGCTATGGAAATAAAAAATGTCAAAATTGTTTCTCAATAAATGTCGACTTATTATTTGACAAATAGTGCCAAAATATGGAGAGTCAAAGCTACTCAAACTTAGATTTAATTAATTTATTTTGTATTTATGGAAAGTGTAACAAAATTATGATGTCGTTCATTAAACAAAAATAATTTTTTRACTTGTTAGCTTTAAATAATGATRGCATGGTAGAACCTATCAATAATAATTAAGTTTGCATAACTTTGATTCTCCATATTTTGGCACTATTTGYCAAATAATAAGTCACTGTCGACGTTTACTGAGAAACAATTTTGACATTTTTGATTTCCATAGCAAACTATGTGAAAACGGGTATGGCTAGTAATAAATTTTCTGTAGCATTAAAAAAAATGCATAACTTGAAAATTATTAAATTTAGGTATAGGGAATGTTAATACAGATCAATGCACAATTAAATTCTCTTCTATTTAGTAAAATAAAAATTGGGGTATTTTATTTGAAAAAATTGAGTATGAGTATTTGAATTATTACAAAAGTAACCTTAAAATTTTGGGATATGTTATTTTTTTTTCAAAATTTGAAAACACCAGAAAAAGGATCAAAGCTTTCTCTTTCAAACGCCAAAAAAACGAATTTCAAATCTTAAAAAATGGCAGAGTTACCGGTTTTTAAAGTGGAAGGTGCAAATGCAAAAATTTTTGAAAAACTCCAAATATTTCAAAAACGGCTAAATTTAGGTATAGAAAGCTGATGAAAACTTCCTTAAAATAACCCGATTAATCCAAAAACGCAGTAAAAAATATACCTTTCCATTTAAAATAAGAAAGTTGAGACCGACTTCCGGTAT